AGAGTCCATCACCAGGGTAAAAATAGCTGTATGCTGCACACTGCTGCGTGTGTGTGTGTGTGTGTTTTCTCTATCTGTACTGCGCACTGACTGTGATCGCCGCCTGGTGGGGGCACTAAGACACAGCTTAGTAGAATGGAGTATTTCTTTAAAAAGAAAATAAGGAACACAAAGCCCTTTGGACAATTAATAAATATGCCAATAAATGCAACTAAAGCAAGGCAAAAGTATTTATGAAATAATCAGTCACATAATGTAAAATAAATATTGGCCGAAAAGAATACTATATATAGTGCAGCAGGCGAGTTTCTTAACTTTATCAATAATAGAAAACACAACCAAATCCATCCTTTTTATACAAGCAGATTTTATAAACTCTGTGAAGGGAAGGCTGTAACTTCAACAAGTACAAAACATGAACTCTTATGGCACAGTTAAGTGTGGAAATAACTTGTAGAAACCTACTAAGACTAGTTCTGTAATAAACCCTGAGATAGATAAACCGTTTACCTTATTTGTGAATAAAAAAAACAACAAAACACCTTGATTAAATTTCTTCTCTAACGGTCCAGTACTACTGACAGCACCTGAGCCTGGAAACCATTTGGTATGTAATGTCTGATGACAATGCAGTCATGCCATCCAGAATCAAATATCAACTGCAGACGTAAAGAAAGAAACCCATCCTACCTCTAAGGCTAAGAGTAAGGACATTATATTATTTATCACACTGACAATCTACAACAAGGGTTGTCTATGTAACTTAACTTCTATCCATCCATCCATTATCAATACCGCTTATTCCCTGATGGGGTCGCGGGGGGAACTGGAGCCTATCCCAGTGGTCAACGGGCGAGAGGCAGGGTCACCCTGGACAGTCCCCAGTCCATCACAGGGACACACAGAGACACACAAGGACAAACAACCACTCACACTCACATTCACTCCTAAGGGCAATTTCCCCAATCTCCAATCAACCTAACATGCAGGTTTTTGGAGGGTGGGAGGAAGCCGGAGAACCCGGAGAGAACCCACAGAAACAGGAGAACATGCAGACTCCACCCAGAAAGGTCCTGGTTCCCCCGGGATTCGAACCCAGAACCCTCTTGCTGGGAGGCGACAGTGCTAACCACCACACCACCGTGCCGCCTGTAACCTAACTTCTAAAAGCGAAAACAAGACAGACCATCTGACAAAAGCTGCATTTAAGCTTCCAGATTGTTCTCCGTGAGTCGGGGGAAGAGGAAAAATAAAAACGAATCGTGCTTACCCTCACAGTTCTTGCCATCGGCGGCGAGGGAGAAGCCGGCGGTGCATGAGCAGTAGTAGGAGCCCGGCGTGTTTTCACAGGTCTGGGCACACACTCTGCCAGGATAGCGCCAGCACTCGTTCACATCTGTCAGCAGAGGAGGAGGAATTATCCGACAGCACACATACGCGCCACAAAACACCGGGCAGGACGCAACGCTAGGCACAATACCGTTCATTTTTTCAAAATACATATCTCTGTATAAGAATCCCACTGATGTAATAAATTAGATCTGACTAATCAAATCATTTCTTAAAATGGCAGCTGGTTCACTGGGTTGTTCACAGTTTTGATTACCCATCTTACTTTTAAGAATTGTATAAATACATGTAAATATATATAAATGAAATATACATGCACAAACATGCAATCATATTTTGCACATTTTAAATGCATCATTATCTAATCTATTTTCACTACGTCTTAGACAATATTTACGCTAGTTACTAGTTTAGTTGGTCTTTTATTGTTTGTTTATGCATGTATTAGTCGCTTTTATCCAAAGCGACTTAAAAGTAGCATATATACTCACTCACCACACTCACCCACTCACCAATGTGGAAACTTATTTAAACAGTTTTAGTTAGTGTCAATTCAATGTTAATATAATGGACACCTTCATAACACTTCATAGTTTAATTCCCTTATGAGGAGCACCTTGATCTGTAACATTATCCTTAGTTAGTCATAGTGACAGATTCATTTGCTTCTTTATGAAACCAATCTTACATCTATCATAGAGTATACTTGCAAAATACATTAAAAAAACATAATGAGTAAAATGTATTTTCAATTACAAATTATTATTGATTTAAAGAACAGGTGACACAGTATTTCAATTTTGTTATTACTGCTTGACAGAAATGATCTAATCTAGTTCAATAACTTTATTCATCATAACTACAAAAGAATACATGATTAAACCTTCCATCTGCTCAACATCAACAGACCAGAGTCAGGAAAAGCCTACCGTTGCAGGCTTTTCGGAGGGCATCGAACTGGTACCCTGTCTGGCAGTCACAGCGGAAGCTTCCAGGAGTGTTGTGACAGATCTGGCCCCGCCCACAGCGGTGCGTCCCCATCTGACACTCATCCATGTCTGGAAACACAAAGATAAAACCTCACAGTTGTGCTTCAGCATGTATCTGAGAACACCAATAATAGCTCAACTCATAAAGATGTTTTACAATGTGTAATCTACTAATTTAACAGCCTCCATGATTTTGATCAGGAAACGCCGGCTATTCAATGAGCCCCATATATGTTTTCATGTATTAATTATATCCACAGAGACCTTATTTGTGTTGCCCTTTCAGAACCCGTCTATTTATTTTTCATTAGTGAGTCGGCTAAAACCCTTTTCCCATGTGGTTGACCCTAATTTGGCCCCAACTTAGATACTCATTATGTTCCATACACAATTAGCAGTCATCACACGAGCAGAATCAATGTGGGATTTCATCACTTAGAAATACTGAAACCAACAGACAATTCCCTTAAAGTCCTATGTTTCCGTGCCTATAGTATTTAAGCACAAAGAACCACTGTAGGCTGGAAACAAAGGGCTGATTAATATGTGTAATTTACAGTTACAGTCATTTATGTGAGCAGATACACACTTATATGTTGAGTATGAAGTAGATATTCAGACAGCGAGCATCTGGGTGTAAGTCATACGTGGGAAACTGGGGAACTCTTGTACTACATTACAATCAGTTGTTATCATAATGAGCTGGATACAGCTGCCGATGAATTGATTTGTTAGTACTCAAAAGATGAAGTCAGCTTCTAAATAATGACACAAAATTAACGGAAAAGAGTATATTCCTGAGTTGTTTTTTTGCTGTATTTGATTTGAAAAAATATTTCGACTTGTTTTACAGTCAAAATATTAAGGTGTCAACAACAATAATATTCATTATTTTTCTTAAATTATTTGTTTAACTCCTGGAGAGAATAGTGAGGATTCAGTGCTTTTAACTGTATGTAATTATATTAGAGCTTCCATAATGCTTTGCTCCTGTATCAATGCTGCAGGTGTAAGCGGTAAAAAAAAAACCTACCGACACACTCGTGTCCATCAGGGCTGGCGCGGTAACCACGATTGCAGGTTATTATCTTCTGCTGACACGAGTAGGAGCCCACTGTGTTAATGCAGTTCAGACCCGGGCTGCAGGGCACACTCAGGCTGCTGCACTCATTTATGTCTGTGGAATCACAGACACACAAAGTCCGGTCTAGTAGTGATGACCGGTGGGTGGATAATCCTGACTGACAGGCCAAACTGTTTCTTTACCATCATTTCAACAGAACAGTTCATATTTAACTGTTCACCAATTAAACATCACAGTTGTGCCAGACAAGTCTAAAGTAGTTCACGTGTTTTTTGTAATTCTCCTGTCTAAAGTTTATAAGACTGCAGCTGATTATACACACTGGTTTCATACACACACACTCAAACCAGAACTCACATTAGAATAGATTGTGGTTTCCTTGATTCCAAGAGAATCACCAGCTTATTTACCCATTGAAAAACATTAAGTGACAACTCACAATGGCAAAATTATTTTTTGTGGTATAAACACAGAAGGTTCTGTGCAACTAACCAAGAGGCATGTAAATGATAGACACAAAACCTAAAAAAACAGGAACATTTACGCGGAAGATCTTTAGACCATTTACCATAGAAAAAAAGGACGGCTAAATATTACTTTGAATTTTTTTATTTGGAGTAATAGCAACCAGAAAAAATGCTTTTTTGAAAACAGTGAGAAATTAAAAAACAAAAAAGGTCATATCTCGTGCTTGACTTCATCATATACCTAAAGTTCATTTTAGAACATATTTCTGTTTGTATGCTGTCGGCACCTTTGAGCCTAACCTTGGAAAAAGAACGATAGCAAAATGTTTTTATTTGGGGATTTTATATCCATCTGATCCAAATTGGCTGCCACATTTAGTTGTGAATAATGGGAACATGGGAGACAATGGGAGCAGTCCAGCGGTTATTTTTAGTATCTCCATTTGAGCATTTTGCAGTGGTCATAACAGAGATTAATTCAGTAGTATGAATGTGATTATATGCCTCCAGTAGTAAACCAATAAGGGTCATCTTAAGGCCCTGTTTGGCTGGATCCTCAACCTTTTTCATGTTTATTGAAAGATTTGGGCCATGTTATTCTTCTTTATGCTGATTCAAATGAATGATTCATAAGCCAACTGTAAAGTTGTCAATAACAGACAGGAGGAACACTTAAACGGAGACAAAAGTGTACAAGTGAAGAGGATATATGTGTTAAAGTTAAGGTAAGTGGGTTAATCATTTTCTTCTCTATCTTACTTAGAAAACATTTCAAATGTTGAAAGTAACATGAGAAAAAGCTGGAAAAGTCTGTGTTAATTGGGCGATTGATTGTGGTTTTCTTTTTATCAGACATTTGTTCAAATGCCGTTTTTCCAATGCTCTAAGGATGTATTTGTGCTTTTGGAATTGTTTACTTGTGATTGTGCTGTGGAAAGACACAATCAATGCTGAAAGGTATGGACAAGTCTTACAACATTTGTGTAATTATGAACGGAATATTATGTATGTTTTAACAACATCTCTTAAGAACTTCAGGTCTTCATTGTCCAGTCAGAGTATTGTAGTGGCTTACTTAAAAATTTCAACAACTGTAAACATTTTGTGCATCTTGAAATACAAAAGAAAGAAAAGAAAACCTAGGTCTGCAACAGATTTTTTGCTATTTCAGTGTGGCAGTCAAACATTGGCATAAATAATCTCAAAGGAGTGTTGTGTAAAAGAACATGAAACAAAAAATCCCAAATTGGATAAAAAGTCTCAGGAACCAGGCCCAATGACACACATTTCTAAAGATTATTCTTTCATTCTCTATTATGACTTTAATGGTTGCATCACTTTTCCTCGATGGATAAAGCGGTGTCACTTACCAACACAGTTGCCATGAGAGTCCTGTGTGAAGCCGCTGATGCACTTGTGTTTGGATTTACAGAGGAAAGAGCCAGCTATGTTCTCACACACATAGCCCTCACCGCAGTCATGAGCCCTCATCATGCACTCATCAATGTCTGCAAAGTAGAAATAGGATAAATAGAGGTTTAACTAACATCTTGCTAAACCAAAATGATGACTTTGTGCCACTGGAGGACCTCAATCTTCTGTCAGCTCTCTCAGTTTCAGCCGTAGTTGCAGTGTGCAAACTGGACATAAGGTGGCCCTGTTGCTCAAGCACAATATAACACCAGGAAGCTTCCCACAGATATAATCATGCACCATTCCAATCCTTAACTGGAGGAAAAATTCTAATAAAAGCATCATATGACCATCCAGCTTTGCAATTAACAAAAGCTGAGAAAACTTTTCTAAATGACAGTTATTGGATGTGGTGAACGATGGACGGGGTTTAAATTGAGTGCCTGGAGCCCCTTCTCTCAGGAGTTCATGTTATGCTCCTTCCTTTAAGCGAAGGGACTTAATTTGTTTTTTTTTTCTTTTTACCGTTGGAGGGTTGAGTTCTCTGTGTCACAGCAGAGACCGCTCCTCTGCTTTCATGCAGCTAATTAGTTTTTCCCCCTTTGGATGGTCGACTAAATACTACCCTCATTATCTAGCTCCATTGATTAGTCTTCTTGGTGCCAATTGCTGATGACACAAGTGTGGGAGCTTCAAAGTGCTCCACTGCCTGTGCGATGGTGCCTTGTTGAGTGATTATCTCGTCACATACGGAACGCTGACATCTGCACGGGCACAAGAATTCTGACCAGGGCCAGAAAAACAATAACATATGAAAAAATAAAGCTTTATGGGAAGAGATTGAGACATGACCACATATGAACGTCAGAAATGTCTACGAGGAACACATTTGTAGGAATTTTAATTCTATTAAAGTTTTTGAGTCAGTAATTTTGTAAATGAGCAATGCGTTTTTATGTTCCTATAATGAAATAACTTATAAGTTATAGAAAATACAGTCTTAACTGCTAACACCTTAGTAGTTAAGCAAATCTCAAATTACATTGGATGTTTAAAATCCTATTTGACTAATCAATGATGTTATGTTGAACTAATTCTATACCAATGTGCATCCATACTTTACACTTCTAATATTCTATTTTAAAAAATCCATACATTTTCTCTATCCCTTATTCCCAGTAGGGTTGCATGGGGGCTGGAGCCTATCCAGTGCTGTCATTGGGTGAGCAGCAGGGTAAGCCTTGGACAGGCAGTCTGTCCATCACATAGTTACACAGAGACAAACAACCACACACTCACATTCCTACAGCTAATTTAGAGTCAACAATTCATCTAAAATTCATGTTTTTCAACGGCGAAAGAAGCCGAACTGCTTGTTTTCCCAGCTAAACCAAATATACGCCCCAGTATTTGGAACTAAACTGAATTTCTATGTCTCGCTCCATCAAAGGCAGCTAGAAACGAGTGTCCCGATGTATGACCATCTGACCTTTAGAGATCATGTTGCTTCTGAAGCCTGATCGTGTTGCTTTGCAATATTGAACAAAAGAATATCAGGCTGTCCCTAACCCAACACGCCGCCCACTGGAGCACCCTGAGAAAACCCACACATACACGTGGAGAACATGCAAACTCCACGCACGGTGCCCCGTCCTCAAATTCAAACTGGGAGGCGATGGTGTTAATAACAAGCACACTACCGGACAGCTCCCTACAGAAAAATTTAATGTCAACTGACAGTTTTGGGCTCATCCTTCATTTTCTCTAAATCAAAGTTTATGGTTGTTTTGTAAGTTCTCTTTTTTTATGGAAGTACTGCAAATATTTGTTTTTCTTATCTTGAATAAATCTTACATAAAATAATGAGGAGGACCACATTGTCATTTCTACTGACTGCTTTTTAGACTCTAGCACAGAAGTTTAAGTAGACTGGCTAAATAGATCAAGACCAGTGAACTCACCTTGGCAAATAGTGTTTTTCAGTTGGTAGCCTGCAGGACAAGTGACCTGTGGTCTGCATACAAAAGAACCCACCGTGTTCACACACCGGTCACTGGGCCGGCACCTGTGGGTGTTGCTCACGCACTCATCCACATCTGCAGAAGACAGAGACTCTGTGTCAGGGGCTGGGGGGTGACCTGTATGAACTTCTACCCTCGTGTTCCCGTTCTCTGACTGTTATAAGGATGCTGGCAGTAAGTCAGCAGGAGATCAGCTAATATAATAAACTAAAGACAAGTCAAGTAGTTCCTACACTGTCAGAGAGATGAGAGGAAAATAGCTTTTTAATTTTTCCTGCAGGTACATCACCTGGATAAAAAACTAATTAATTCATAGTATTATCTAATCATATTCGATAAATGAAGGAAGAAGTATTTTCAAGGTCTGTCAGAATTACTCTTACACTCTGAAAGATAAACAGTGAGTGAATCAACATAGACTCAGACACCAAATGCTGGGGTTAGTTGATTGCAGACCAGTTAAGTTGAGGTGTTTAATATTAAAACTAAATCAATATTTTTCATAAAAGCAATCCTTGTAAAAGCTATTTCTAATGTGAATGTGGCGGTTAATGAAAACCCCATGTTGAGCAATCACTTGAAACTTTAAACCAAGTGTTTTACAGCATTCTATTGCGTTTCCCATCACAGCTTTTGTCTTTCGGCCTGCAGCTTTGTCTTAATTCTGTTTCAGAGATCTCATTGATTTTTTGTCCAGGCTGTTTAAGTTCTTTTTCCTGGAAAGAAACAAATCTACCCGCTACACTGACCTTTCCTACTTCAGACAGTTTAAGATAGATGTCATCACCTGTTGTGCTTAACTCTAGTTTTACACGGCCTCAGACACATCTTAATGTTGTCCCACTAACAGATTTAGCTCATCTTGTTTTGCTTTTTTCAAAGTAGACTAAGTTCAAGGCAAGGTTTCTCTTTTGGTATGGTCTCTTGGAAAACCTATCTTTCTTTGTTCTACATAATCAAAGGCAGCAGGGCCTTTAAACTGTTGTCCTTGTGGTGTGTGAGAAAATACTGTCCACAATTCTGCCTTCTCATCACCTAAGTATAACCAACATTAGTGCACAAATGCTGTCTTCAAATTATCTGGATGAAAAAAAATATTAAGACCATGGTGTCATTTAAAAGTGAGTTTATTCATTCCTAGTTAATACTATTTTTTCAATTAAATGAGGAAGTATCTGTAGTGCCCAATTAGTTCTCGCAGCTATAGGTTTCCAAATTTCAAGTAATTCATTTCATGAATCTGTTATTGATCATGGATGGTAGTGACAACGTTAGCTTGTAAACCTGTTTAACGAATTAAGAGTGATAAAACCTTTTTCTGAAACTGTTACGATGGAAGGCTGAAAGCTAAACAGATGACAGTTTTAAATAGATGCAAATGTCTTTTTAATTTTTGCATGAACGTTGCTAAGCATGCAACTTCTTTTACCTTATTAGACAATAAGTAAATCAAAAACATACTGCAATGTGTACAGTCCAAACTGACATGATGTCATTATTTACGTTTAGATGAGGCAGGTATCAATGCTGTAACTAAAGATGCTGAAAGCCTAATTATATTCAGACACAACATAACAGTCAGCATCAACCTAAGAATAAACTAGAGATGGAAATCACTAGAAAGAATCTGTTAGAGGCAACAGTGGCGACAATGAGGAGATAGAGGAAATTACAGAAAGACCGGTTACTCTTGCATGCAAAATTGAAAAAACATTTACATCTATTTAAAACTGTAATCTGTTTAGTTTGACTGTGCTTTTAGCTCTACTTATTAGCACTTTCAGAGAAAGATGTCCCTCTCTTTGTGGTTAAGAGGTACCTAATTAGGGTTTATTTTTCCTTTTCCAAAGCCGACCATTATTGCAAATCTATTTGTAATGGCTAAAAGTAAAGAAACACTTGCATTGCATTACTTTTATTTCAAATGAAGCATCTTTCCAAATGAAGAATGCTGTAAACTATAACGATCAATCTTTGTTATTGAAAAGCATAAAATTATGCAAAAACAAAAGATACTTTGTTTCAGATGGATAATCCAGATTTATTTTTTGTCCTACTGATAACTGCTTGATCCTCCTAGACTATGCTGTTTGGTTGGCATTTAACTCTGGACAAGTGACTTCTGTGCAAATCCAAAGGCAGATTTTAGATATCACGCCTCGGAAAGTTCTGTGAAAATGTTGCTCATTAACTATGTTTGTGTGAAACAAAACACACAGTTCCAAATGCTTTTTTCCCCCCTTAAATCAGTCAAACAGAACCACGGTAGGTAAACAGGTGCTGTTGGTTTATGGCACTGGGGAGCTCATGCTGAAACCCGGAGCTATAGTCTCTAAATTCTGCATTCTCTTATCACGAGTGAATGATTTGCTGAAAATGCAGATATGATCCCTGTCCAGGACAGGGATCATTTTATGGCATCCATCCAGATTTGAAGATCAGTCTAAAATACGGCACAGGGAACTGCAGACTGTAATCGTTGTTCTGGCACTGTGTCTGTTGGTTATCCATCTCTGAAGTGTGTTCCATAACATTGAAAACTTTTGCTCTTGCAAATGTGTGCTTGCAACGGTTTCCCACAGGGAGGCTTCAGTGCACAGCTGCAGAACCCCTAACACTCAGCTACTCGTCCTGTGAGTTGATATTAAATAAATGCTCCTCTATCTGGACAGAGCAAACGTGCACTGTGATATCTGAAGCCTCTGTGGGGCTGCAGCAAATACACTCATCTTATCAGTGAGTTAACAATCATCCTCTGTCCACAGGATATGTGCCGCACAAGCCGTGAAGTCACACAAAAACTTTCTTTTAGAGCTTCATTTTTTTCCAGGCTGAGAAACATCTGTTATCTACATTTTAGGAAGTCACACGGAGTCCCATGGGCTCGGCTTTGCTTCAGGCCCAGGGATGGACAGAACTTTTTCCAATGTTTTCGTGTTGTCAGTGTTGCAGAAACTCCGGCCCCTTTCATCAAAGCTCAAAGACTTTGAGCAAAAGAGATAAAGAGTATATTGCCTTGATCCCGTAGTAATCCCGAACCTGTGCAAGACCACAGTGGTTATGCCAGCTCTTCACTCCACAGATGCTTTTCAACAAAGATTATCGTTGATTTTCCTTAAGTTTTTTAACTGACACTATGTCCTCTGGACTGTAGAGGGACCATCTTCTTACTAGCACTCATTTCAAAATGCAATGTATGAAGGCAAGAGGATATATTATTGTAAATTCTTCCACATCTGCAAAGGCACCATTAGTAATGAAAGGTATAGACCGATTTTTTTAGCCTCCATCCATCCATTGACTTTGTAACGACACTTACTAATGATAAATCACAACAAAGAGGGAAATGTTTTTTTTCTTTTGACATGCAGGAAATAAAATGAATCTGGTATTATTTGCTCTTGACAGCCGATTGATAAACTTTCCGTTAAAAAGGATCAACTACTAAACATTTGTTGTGATATACAAGGTACTGGGGGAATAATCGAGCATCATCTGATGCACAGACAAGGAAACTGCCAAGGAAACTGAGTACAGAATTTTTCAAATCTGAAAAACCAAAAGAACAAATATTGCTTTTGTGATCAAGAGGACACAATATAAAGGAATATTGCATCATCTGCGAGGTGATCTAGAGTTTGTTTGTTTCCCTGAGTAGCAGAGGGTTCTAATCGCGTACTCTGTCTTACTCCTACAGTCCAGTAAATGTACATGGTATTAACCTAATGAGAGTGATTGGGAGCTTGCATGTTTGTTTGTTTTTTTCTACCTTGTCCTGTTCAGTATTATGGCAGCAGAACTGAAATTTGAGTACCCTTTTATGCTGAACAAAACTGCTTTGCCAAGGGAGGCTTTGTTAGTGAGAAGCACCCCTTGATTACCCAAAACTGCTTTATTTATTTATTTTGTTACGAAACATACATGTGTCCAATAATGCCGAACCTGACAGAGGGACAGGGAAGAGAGAAAAGCAGTGGAAAGGAGAGAGATCCTTTGGACAGAGACAGAAAGTGAAAAAAATACAAATAAAGGAAAAAAAAGAAGGAAAGACAACGAAACCATACAACCAGCTCCTATGTCTGTAAAAAAGAAACTGTTCCTTGTGGTTACTTGTCTAATTGTCTAATCTCCATGTGGACATGCCTCTTCCCCAAAGACTGCTGGGATGTGAACCTGACTTGGACCAAGTGGGTATACAAAAAGGATGGATGGATAAAGGAAACTGATTATATAAGATATTCATTAAATATTGCAAAGTAGTCAATATTCCATCATCAAATTGACTTTCCGTCACCTTCAAAACCCTGAAAGACTCCCAGCATTCCTGAACAAAGAAGTAGATATGAAAATATGTTCAAAATGCTACGTTAAAGGTTATTTGAATAATTGCAGTAGCTGCAATATTAGGCAAATTTAGGGGTCAAAGGATAACTAAAGACATATTAAAATAAATACACCGTCACTTGAACACACAAAAAATGACACCCTGATAGCTCATTAAGAAATAATAAATAACGATAGAGTATGAACAAAATTGTAATTAATGGTTAAGACACACTATGACATCTGGCTTTTTGAAACAAGCTGAGAGGAAGACCGTTAAATCATGCATTAAGCTTCATCAACACTGAGTTAGTTGACCTTTTTGACAAGAGATTCTCAAGGTTGACATTTTCAGCAATGTGATGATAACTGATCAAGAATGACTCTATTACACCTTAAAAAAAGAAAAAAAGACATTATTGTATGCTGAGCGTTTTTGTGTTTTCATTTGAAGAATTCAGCAATAAAGGGAAAATCACACCGAGCCTGCGTTGGACCACAATCTGTTTGACAGGGTGGATCCGAATTTCTCAAAAACCTGCGGTGGATCAGTGTTGATTTATTCTGCAAAGGTTGGGGGAGCAAAATCACATCTCCTTTCAACAATTCCAGTCATGTACATCATGTTTAATATGTTAACAATTCAACCACAGAGATCATCACACCCTGATTTGCATTTTATGGGAGTGTCTTATCAAATATTTTTTTAATGAGGAATGCAAAGCAAATGCAACACTGCTAATGCTTTGTTTAGTCCAAGATCAGAAATGTGTAACCATGGCAACCACATACGCTGGAGACGTGTCTATGTGGGAAAACATCAGAACAAGGACCCGCGCACTGCTAATCAGCATGAATGAATTCAGAGAATGGGGAATCTGACCTGTGCATTCACAGATAAGATTTCCTGAAAATGCCCTCCATCCCTGCTTCACACACAGCTCTGTGAGAACAACGGCACATTAAAGGCAGCAATTCAACCACATTCATGTACGAGTGAGCACATCACAGAGTGAGAGGTGCACTTTTATTTACTCTGCAAACATGGCGCGGGCGTGCTACGGGACAAAGCACACACACAGGGCTGCAATCAGGGCGCTAAACAAATCACAGATGGCCATAAGCACTGCAGGTGCTGGAGCTCTAACTGGGATTTCACAGGCTGCGTGCGACTCGTCAACAGGTTTTCCACAACTTTGTTTGCAGTGTACTTAAATCTTCAGCATATTCTCAAACAACCCCTTGAAAGTCATATCTAGGCTCGCTATTTGATTTATTTCAGTTAAGGCTGAGCCAAATGTTGCCACAAGTTCACATGTGGGAGCAGTTAAGGAAAAAGAGTGTTCCCTCTGTGCACAGAGTGGTTTGATAAGTTGGAAAACACGAACTGCAGTGTTTTGCTTTTGCATCTGGAGGTGTCATTCAGTGAGTTTCTGAACAGATGGATTACATAAACTCATCAAGGACTACACTCCCAGCCCATATATTCCCCAGGCATCAGCCACATGGTGTTTCACTGCAACATACAGTAAAAAAATTAAATTAACAGCACTAACTGCCTTCCTCTCTAATTCCATTTCACACACACCACTGCCTGGTACAGTCAGGCATTTCCACATATTGAGATGAATTGCAGGAGTGGACCATGCATCACTTTTGTTTTCTTACCCACAAAGCAGAGTGGCTGTCATGTTTTTTTCCTTTTTAGAAATGCATAGATCATTTTACTAATTCCAACAAGATGTTTATATCTAATAGCCATTTATTACAAAAACGTCCTGGCATCCTTACTAGTTTTAAAACCAGACTATCTCAAGGTTTGTACACCTGAAGATAGAAGCCTATTTTACCTGGTGAACCTTCTATTTGAAAGGAAAATCACCTTAATTAACCCTATAGTCACTTAGCATGAACTCCCATACATTTTTTTAAGCAACAGCAGGTATGTTTTCATCTAAAAACACATCTGACAAATGTAAAGAATCCTCAGCCCATTATTACAAACAAAAGATCATTTAGATTTTGATAAAAACTGATTTCCCCTCTCAAAATTTCACAATTAACGAGATCTTGTCTCGTGGTAAACCTGACAGTCACTGAACAGTTAACATTGACAAAAGAGAGGAAGCTTATGAAACAAAAGCCTGAATTACACAAATACAATAGTTTAGTTAGACCAAACTAGCTGATATATCCCCTGTTTTTCTAAAAACAAGTCAGCAACAAGGCGGAGTGGAGGACACTCCTGGGGCCAGATTTTTCTGTTCCCGGGAGTGATTTTACTGAGTCTCACAGGACTCACAGGACTATTTATAAAACATCAATGAATGACATAAGCCACATCCAGGTGAGGTCATTCCCTAAACTGATTATAGTGTTCACTGTCTTGTTCCGCACTTCCGCCAGTTCGGCACTAGCTGGGCTGGATAAAGAGGATAAAGAGTGGACATGCTGTGTGTAATGAGGACATGATGTTGACCAATTTAGCTAAAGTCTTCCTTATTTTCAGTCATTACAAGTTATATAGTAATTGCTATTGTGACCTCTGACCTTTTTGTCAAAGATCCCCCCGGACCTTTGAGAGGAGGCCGCTAAGTGAACAGATACCATATGTTGTTTTTTATTATTCAATCTGCCACAGAATAATGGCCTTTTGGACTCCTTATCTACCACCAGGCTGTAGAAAGACCATCATTACAAGTATTTTGTTGATGTCTTTGTCTCTATAACAAGACCTGCCTTTCTTCATAAGTGACTTGATTTAACATACAGTATATGTATATAAAAAATCTGGATTATGGCTATCTTTAATTTGCCTAACATGTCTGTACTCATATTTGGATCATGTCAGGTTACTTTGCACAAACCCGTATTGATGGAGAAAGCTTTGGGTTATACATAAGCTTCATTAACAGTGCCTACAGTATTACTACCAGTGATAATGTGACAAGTGGTGGCCCTTACCCTCACACGTACGCCCATCTGTCATCAGTGAGAACCCTGGGAAGCAGGAGCAGTGAGCCCGGCCTATCACGGCTGTACACTGCTGACTGCAGCCACCATTTCCTGAAAGAAAAAAGCAGCATCATCCCTGTCATCTCCAGAGTCCACACAGCTACAACTCCCTCACAGGCATTCACTCTAAATAGTATTACTGCTGATTGAATTTTTTAATGATTTCCCTGGTGTATTTTCTCTGTTGTCTTGCCATTTTGAGTTGCACCTTAAAATACCCTCGACTTCAAGACCTCAGTTTTACTCTTTTTGCTTTGATAATTTCCTGCTGTATGAAGCATCTCAGCCATTGCAGTTGCACAACAGAATCAGTTCTCCCCATTTAAGAGACAACATCCAATGAAAAGGAGAAATAGATCTCTTACCAACATATTCACATGTAAAGCTCTCCTGATATGAGGTTTTGCTAAATTTGGAGATTCTTGTGATTAACAATCTGAGAAAAGTTTGAACGAGCGGGATCTTGTACATGTATAGAAGGAACTGGAAATGTGAAGCTCAGAGATCAGATTTTTTTTAGATCTGATTAAGATTCAGCTTGTGACATTGCAGCAACATAGGAGTTAAGCTGTGATTGAATCTCTTATCAGTGAGATCCCACGCTGTGCAAAAACTGTCCCCTTTTCACTTCAAGAGTGAGGCCTTTAAACAGGCAGTCAGGCAGCGCACGGACACATTCCATCACCTCAGCCTGCAGGTTTGGTTTCTGTGCAAATTCTATTTTTTGTTTCAGAAAAAGCTAAATCAGTGTGCTGAGCAGATGCTGTCTTTCTGGGCTTCATTACACATCAGAAGCAGACAGTATTAGCATAGAAACAGATCTACACTAAGTGTTAAAACAAGAACAAAAAGATCTAAAAATAGTTTAACTTCACAAATGATGGAAATAAATATGAGAGGTTTTTTGTGTGTCTGCAGTCACTGCTGGTGTTTTGGGGACCACATCTAAAAATGTGTAACTCAGTGAGGCGTTCAGAAACACAATGGAACCTTCACTTTACAAAGGAAGGGCTGGCGTGAAGTTTAATAGGTCACTTCATATCCTCAAGAGATGTGCTTGTTTAGAGACGTAAATTGGTGGAAAAGAAAGCAGATGCTGTTTTGCTGCTGCTCTCTGACTTCACCAAAACATGTCACAAACATTCATTAAAAACTTAGCAATTGTTTCAGACTGAGGCAAATATAAACATTTTAACGTCTGGAAAGGCATATACAAATACTTATAGGGAAACATGCTATATCTGACAGGAACAAGTATACTAAAAAACATTTAAAGTATTTAAAATTCTGTTTTGGAGTTGGACTTTTAGTTTTTAAATTGATTTAATCTAAGGTCAAAGCAAATCCCGGCCAAAATGGCCTGTATCTAAAACAAGCAAAAAACCTACTAGCCTGATCACTTTACTGTTCTTAATAGGCAGGATCTGCCCTTATTATCAACATGAAACCTTCTCAGATCCAAAATTTGAACAATTTAGGGGTGCTTACTTAAACTGAGAATAAAATAATGAGATAAAAGTATTTTCGGTGGTTCAAGCTAATTTTAGATCTGTTAATGGTATGTCCTGTGAACAGTCATTGTGCCTGTTCAGTGGACATCATTCGTTTTCTTATAATCTTGAGACCTTATCTTTGCTATTTGATGAATATTTTACTCCATTATGTTTAATTAGATGCTTTCACATTCTCTTTGATGTAACAAACTCAGAAGATATATTTCTGCTTTACTGCAACTTTCAGTTGCAACTAGATGGTGCTTGCAGAGTTTTCTCTCCCTTCTCACTCAGATCAAACATAATTTGATTCCTTCACAAACACAGGGACAGAATTACTAACCCTGCTGGATGAAGTTGAGACAATACATACGCACAGTCAGATTCTGAGATCATATAAATGAACTAATTACAAAATTAACTAATTATGGAACTTCATCTTGTCTCTAGGTTTTAGAGAAAATAATAGTTTTCTATGCACACTATTCTATTTTTCAAAATATAACAAAATATTATATCACATCCATATCAATTTGAATGTTTGTTAAAATTAAACGAATACATGAAAAAGGGGAAAATAGCCACAGGGTGTTCTTTTTTAAGGCACAGTACCATACACAAATATTTGCTTACATGTAACTGTTATCTAGAGTATCCATCCATCTATCATCTATACCACTTATTCCCAGTGGAGTCACGGGGGAGCCGGAGCCTTTTCATCTTGACTAATGTAAGGAAAATTCAAAGTAAATGTTACTTTAAAGTTAAAAAGTTTCATGTTCAGAAATAAATGCTATAAGGAAAATCACATTTTTGGAGCAAAAATTGGATGTGCAACTAGATGTTCTAACCTCCAGGCAGCCATCATGTGAGTACACAGAGGACAGGGATAAAACATAACTCTGCAGATTTGTGGAAAGATTTCCAAAATAGAAAACAGCCAACACTTAGAGCACCTTAAAAAACTTTACAGAAGTGATGCTGTTTTACAGCATTTCTCTGTATTACTGTACTGTACTCTGAAAGTAGTTTGTGATGAAAACTTATTACTGCAGCCTCAATTTAGTTTTCATTAGTTCACCATTAACATACCATACCGCATAAATAACATATCCAAAATGTCTATTATTAGCCATGGAAGATTCAAACTCCAGTTCTTATAAAGATTAAATCTGCAGAATGTATTTCTAGGTTTGTTTAAATGTCAAATGTGTACAGTGTGCGCTGGTGGTATGAAACTTTGATTGTTCACAGTGAAGACAAATACATGATGGTGCTTGTTTTTTTCATTACCTGCACAGGGATCCAGGCGGACAGTGGGGGTTGTGGTTGCCGTGGTTGCAGAGGTTTGTGTTGGGCTGATAGCGGGACTGTTGGTGTCTCTGACACTGTTTTCCTCGTCGGGACTCACTATTCGCCAACAACAGAGACAAAGCAGATTGAAAGTTATCTCAGCTGAATGTGATGATCAACAACACTATTTTATGTTTATAGCAGAAGATTTGAAGAACAGTTGCATTCTAAGATAGAATTTGACCAATGCTGGATGTATTTGTCCTTGCACTTGACTACAGAGCAACAAAGTAACAAGCATTAGGGATTTAAAAATGTTTTTGAAGCAAGTATGGTTATAAAATCCATGCTGGTTCTGGCATCCCTTACTACATGGAAAAGAATACTCCCGCTGTACTGCTTGGAAATTACTTACTTAAAAAAAAAAAACTAAATCTAGGCACACAAAGGAGAACAAAAATGAATTAAGAAAATAGCACGGAAAAGTGCAAAGAAGATTATTTCTAATACAGTACATTTGTTCATTTCTGAATTGATACCATACTGGTAAGCAATTTCTAAAAAAATTAATTAAATTAAGTTAAGTTATTCAATTCAGCATGTGGCTTTTAAAAGTGGGTAGACATCATCCATCCATGCGGGTCACTGGAACCCATCTGACAACGGGCAGGATGCAGGATACAACCCTGGAGAGGTTGCTAGTTCATCAAAGAGCCACACAGAGACAATCAACCACACTCACAATCCTTCCTCCAGGCATTTTGAAGTTTCATATAAACCCAACATGCATGTTTTTGGATGGTGGGAGGAAGCCAGAGTAGAGAACCCACGCAGACACAGGAAGAACATGCGAACTCCACACGGAAAGTTCCTGGGTCCTCGAACCGGGAACCTTTTAGCTGTGAAGTGATAATGCTAACCACCTCACCACCGCCCTGGTAAACCTCATAGCATAAAATAATATACTTTACCGTATGTCTCAAACACATTATATGCTTATATCTCTCCAAAATAAACAAGCTCAAAAGTAGATTTCTTCTGCTGTATTTTTACACAAAATACTTTCATCAATTAAGGCCTGATTTCCCATTAGCAAACCAAAGGTTCAAATATATTCATTGGTACGTACCCCAATGGTTAAGATGTATCAACCACCATCTGGAGAAAAACACTTTATTTTAGATGCCTTATGTATGGAAGTGAACTGTCACACATTTGAGGCAATAGGTGTTAAAGGTTTTTTTTTTTTAAAGAGCTCAAGTCCTTGACAGGAGACCTATTTATTACAGGCCACATGGAAGCAAACAACCACACACATTTACTCCTAGAGGCAATTTAGAATGTTCAGTTAACCTAACATAGATGTTTTTAGTGTGGATCCCATTTACACACAGGTGAGTATACAAACTCCCCAGTCCCCAGGGATTCGAACCAGAAAACCACTTCATGAGAAGTGACAGGGCTAACCACCACACTACCACACCACCATACTATGCTTTATACTAAGTAACTAGACAAAATCTATTTGTTGACATAGCTTACATTAACTGTTGCTGCCAAGTGTTTTTGCAGGTCTCAGAATTAAAATAAATTGGGATTGCCATGAGCTACACAATATGTCGACACAGTATGCACACACAAAAGAGGATATATGATAGTAATGTAATGCATAGTAATGTAACAGTATAGTAGCTTGTTACCAGGTGCACAAGAGTGTCCGTCCGGCTGAAGGATGTAGCCCTGGTGGCAGCCACAGCGGTAGGAGCCCCAGATGTTGGTGCACGTGTGCTGGCACAGCTGGCCCTGGTAGAGCTCACACTCATCCTCATCCTCCTGCTCCTCCACTGCGTTGGCCGCTTCATCTGTGGCACTGATGGAGAAGGCCTCCTTGGGTAATTTGCGATCTGTGACTGCAAAAAAGAAGTGTGGGGAGGAAAAAGTGGTCTAAATCTAGGAGACTAAATCAGATTGTCTGAAAATCAATTTTCTAATCACGCGCCATTGAAATGATTGTCTCTTACGAATGAAAAGGAAAAAAGTATGTGCTTCATCACAGCAGATGCTTCATCTTTTTAATCTTAAAAAGCTTTACACTTAACAGACCGGGCACTACAAATGAAGTCTTTAATCAAGGACATTGGGTTGTTTTTCTCTGTATTGTGTGGTTGCATAATAGAGATGATTGTGTTGTTTTCATTGTCCCTGTCCCCGCTCGGTTATTTTAGAACTTTCGTTAGTCCTTTTTATCTCTGTAGTTTAGTTTATTGGTTTTCCAGCTGCGCTTTCTGTTTCATGTTTACGTATTTAGCTGACACTTTAATCCAAAGCGACTTACAATGCAGATACAGCAAACATAAAAACGAATAATAAGCTTAATAGAAGGAAATCAGTACTCACATTCTATTAGAGGAGACAGAGGTTACAGGGTAGAGATAGAGGGAAGTACAGAGAGAAAGTGCAGAGGGGGTGGGAAGGTACATACTGTGTTTGGGTAGGAGATGCTCTCTGAGGAGCTGGGTGTTTTTCTTTTCTTGAAGATAGACAGGGATGCCCCTGGTCTTGTAGCGCTCAGTAGTTAATTCCACCATTGTGGAACCACACATGAAAGGAGTCTGGATTGTTTCAAGTGTGGTTTAGGCTCTGCTAAATGACAGTCCTTTACTGAGTTATGACATAAGCCTTTGCCAGAGTGCAAGTAGATGGGGGCCGTACCCTTAGGCACTTTGTAGGGCTAACATAATTGACTTGAACTGGATGTGGGGGGTTAAGGTTAGCCAGTGCAGCTCGACAAACAAGGCGAGAAGGGGGACATGGGATTTTTTAGGCTGATTGAAGACCAGATGCGTTGCCACGTTCTGGGACATCTGTAGAGGTTTCACAATACAGGCTGGAAGTCCAATTAGGAAACTTTTGTAGTCAAGGCAGGAGATGAGCACAGACTGCTCCAGGAGCTGGGTGCAATATTAGGATAGGTGTGACAAGTAGAGCCGGGTATCCTCAGCATAGCAGTGGTATGAGAAGCCATGTTATCGGATAATCTGCCCCAATGAGGTGGTGTGTATGGCAAAAACAGGAAGTCCCAGTAGTGAACCTAGGGTGACCCCTCTGGCGAGGTGGTGCACTGTACAAGAGTGACCAAGCCAGGATACTTTGAATGACTGACCAGAGAGGTATGATTCAAACCAGGAGTGTGCTTTTCCTGTGATTAGGAGTATGACCAGAAGTTTGACATGGTTGACTTAGTCAAATGCAGCTGATAAGTCAAGAAAAATGTCTGCCAAGAACTTAGCTCTTGCTCCGGCTTATTTTAAGGCCAGGAAATTTGTTACACTTAACCAAGATATGTTCAGGTCAAGGAGTTTGTTTTATGAGAGAAGAGAACTGTTCAGTGTTAATCGATTGTAATATCCTGTGCTCTACAGTTTTGTCCCATTGGGACCATAACATATTGACCCTTTTAATTTGTAAATGGCTATCTATTTTACCTAAGACAGATGCGTCAGTGCTTACAGTTGGAATTGTGAATTTCCTGATTTGGGTCATTTGCATTTAGTATTTGAGGATTTGGATAAAACCAAAGACAACTCTCCATTGTGCCCTTACTTTTTAACACTAAATATACCCTGAATAACATTCTGTGGGAGAATTTTATCACAGCAAGGATGCTTGTCCCCCCCTCTCTAAAAGAATCAGTGTTGTATCACAAGGGCCACCCAGATGAAATCATACAGAATAAAATTCAAGAAATGCGAACACTTGAACACTTGTGGTAATTGTCCCACAAAAAACAGAAAAATGTAAAAGGGCTTAACAGCAAAGGATCAATACTGAAGCCTTAGAGCAGAATGTCAAAAACAAATGACGCAGTTACAAACATGCAGAAGACAGAAAAAGAAACAGACACACAAACCCAGACCCTGGTGCCATTGGGCACATCATTCCACACTGCACTAGCCATGCCAGTCTCCTTCTAGTGGCAGAAACAAAACAGAGGGTCGAGGAAAAACAGCACAGATGGGAATCCCAATATGGTGCAACAGACAAACAAACAGGAGCTGAGAAAAGTTAACAATGTCCCCTCAGACATAAACAAATAACACAAGATGCCCACGGAGGTTATTAAATTCACTGCACCTATAGAGAACATCAGAGCTCAAACATATCACGGCTTACAGCACAACCAACTTTTCCAACTACCCGAACAGTTGGGGATACAGCTCAAGTGACCGTGAGAAGAGAAGACGTTAGCTGCCTTCTTGACTAAGGATTACTTCAATACCTTTTTAAGGTGGAATGTGAAAATGGCCAGCTCATGCCCTGCTTTGGCTATATAGGAATAAGCATCACCTTTCCAAAGGTTTTTCTCACCGTCCCTTATGGTAATAGGCACAAACACCTTAGATTTATTGTTCGACATCTACTCTTAAACTAAGACTCCCACAGGGTGAAACTGCAAGGCAAAAACACCCGTAAGCTGGAGCTGTGGTTGTGGAGGGTGTTGCTCAGACATTTACCTTCAAGATGAGAAATCTGCTGTCATCAAGCACCCATTGCCATCCTACTTGCCTACAGCCTCATAATCTGCTGTTCATTATGAGTCTGACTGTGACATTGTCATCCTTGGAAAATGCACTATTGAAGAATTTAGTGCTTATCAGAACATCTATTAAAAAAACATCATCCTGAACCCTTCCAAAGATCCTCAAATGCTCAGTTGGCCCAAGAACCGACCTGGAAATTCAATTTCGATGACTCCCCAATATCATTTAAATGGATATAATAGTGTTCATCAAAACCCATGAAGAAAAACTTATGAAAGTCCTAAATCATCTCAAAGAGTTTGGGTTGACAAGCTGACTTAGAGCTTCAGTCGTTTGGTTAGCTCCTAAACCTGTCACAGCTTACTTTACTCCAACTTCAGAGTGATATGATTCAAATACAACTTTTAAAGTTAGAAGAAATTATCTACAGTTTATGGTTATAGCTTAGCCTCTAAAAGATCAGTATTAAGAGGAAATTTTCTGACGCTGTGAATGAAATAACTAGCAGACGCAGCAGGGACACTACATTTTTCTTACCATCATTTGAACATGGCTCAAATTACAAAAATGAAGGCCAATAAACTATATAAAGCAATTCTACGTTGTGTGTCTGGTCTTGATCAATAAAAATGTCCAGTTTTGTGCATTCAGGCACAGATAAACACGTATGAACAAATTCAGACAAGAATAGACTCAAGATGTAAATCGCTTATGAAGCTGATAGCTAAAAACTATACA